GGATCCAAATTTGGTGGACCGATTGCCGCCAACCCCCACTTTTCTTCCATTTCTTTCCATTGTTCAACATAACTGCTTAGGGAGCTGGAATGTTTTTCTTTCCCTGTTCAACAGCCTTGCTGCGCTGCCCTCTCCCCCCCAGGTAGTGGCCCTCCAAGATCCCCCAGTCTGGAGGGGAAAACTGCCGTCCTTTTCCATGTATAAATGCTTTTCCCCTCCTGTCGCCTCAGGCCGCAAGCCTAAAGTAGCCTTTTTCGTATACCAGGAGCTCCTTGGAGCCTATCCCGTTCTTCCCTGTTTTTTTGATCGGCCTGACCTAATGGCACTGGATATCCACTCGCCTAGGGGCTTGTTTTCATCGTCTCTCCATGTTTTTCGGATTTACAATTTGTATTCCATTAATTTCGTGTCATCCCACCGCTGGACAGTGTCGCCGGCGGATGCTTTTCCCCTTCATGATTTCCCTACCCTCACGCTTGGGGACTTTAATCTACACCACCCCCTATCTGACCCTTTGTGGCAGTTTTCAGACCAGGACCTCCTGGTGTCCTCTCCTTACTTTGAAGCAGCCTCTGAGGCTGGCTACAGCCTGCTCAATACCCCTGGCATCCATACCAGGTTCCCCTTCGACCCGGAAACTAGGCCCGGCGTTCTTGATCTAGCCTTTGCCAACAAGTTCCTGGCTCCCTTCCAACATTCCTGGTCGGCTGATCTCCCCTCTACCGGCTTAGACCACATCCCCATCCTCATCAAGCTCTCCTCTCCCCTGATGCACAAGCCTCCCCCGAGCCCGGACTGGGATAAGGTGGACTGGCCGCCGGTACTTGAGACCCTGCAAGGCGTCGATGTCCCGCCACCGCCTTCCCTCCCAACCGCTTCCGCCCTCAGTTCTTGGTTCGATCGACACCTTGGTGCCCTTTCAGCCCTTCTCCTGGCCCCGGCTCCACTAAAACGTCCCTCACTTCGGTCCAAACCTTGGTGGTCCCCCCTGTTGACCTCGCTGCGCCGTGCTTTTAATGCAGCTGCCAGGAGGTCCCGCTCCTCCCCCTCGCCCACACTGAATGCCGAGGCCCGCGAGGTCTGCTCCCTCTACTTTAAGACCATCAAGAAGGCGAAGGCAGAGCACTGGAAGAATTTCCTGTCCAGGGTTGACTCCCGCTCTGTCTGGACGGCCAGAAGGCTTGCGACTGGAAGAGCCCC